ACAATTGTCATCCAAAACCAATCATTTTTTCATAGCTGATGGAAAATCAGAAACATAAATCTCGACTGAGCATGGCAGTATGCATCTGTGAATCCAGCACCCAGAGGCTGAGGCAGAAGGATTGATTGCCACAAATAAGGCCAGACTGGGATACATAACAAGTTCAAAACCAGCCGGAACTACATAACAAGACCTTGTCTCCAAAAAAAAAAAAAAAAGACAACATATGGTTCTGCAGTCTACAGATGTAGCTGCTCATTTAAGAACCTGCGAGGACAGAATCCTTCTAAAAGACTAGTCACTTCATTTTGGTGTTGCAGAAATTCAGGTTAACAAAGGATTTGCCAATAAAGGGGATGGAAGAATGGCTGCATTCACTTTTCTGGACTAAACAAAGAAATGCAGGCTTTCCGGGCTGACTAATGTCCTGGGACAAACCAGGAAGTCAGCCAAGTTCTAGGAGATGTGATGAAAAGACAAGACCTTGCTTTGCTTCATGCAAAGTGCTCTGTGGGAATACTGATGTCCACAAGAGCAGTCTGGGCATCAGCTTGTCTTAAAGATATATGTATACTCAGTCATGGGCATTTCTGAGTGCTTTTGCAATCAAAACCCCGCACCAAGTGCTAGAAGCTGAGTTTATTCTTGAGAAGTGTTAAGTATGTTCGTCACCTATCTCCCTTTACAATATATTACCACTGTTGCTTTTTAAAGTTATTCTTAAAATAAAGTTAATTCTGCTAAAGTGCAACCCTGTTTCTATCTTCCCGTTCAAGCATTCATCTTTCATAAATTGCGTGCTGTGCTTTGAGGACTATCAGAGCTTAGAGCCCTGCAGATACAGAATCAGGCATAGTTTGACCCCTAAGAAAATGCCCAGGTAAACCTAATAACTTCAAGAGCACTTGGAAAAGTAATAAAATGATTATAAGTTTATTTCTCAGTTGAGAGAATCAATTAAACTTGCAATTTTAAACTGGAAAGGTTAAGAAGTTTTTCAATGAAGCTTATAGGAAAGTCAAAAATATTTTATCTGGCCACAATGTGATAACCATAGATACCATTCATTTAACACCAGACCAAGGTAGATTTTGTGAGAGCTGTGGTTTGTGAAATGTCAAAGAATGTTTATAGGACCTTAACTAAGTCATTAAGAACTTGCCAGCCGCTGCTGATGTGGCCTCCTTTAAATGTATAATGCTGACTTATTTAACTAAATGAAAAACATATATGGTTAGAGGCAGGCTGAAAATAAAATCCCCTGCATGTTTCAGTGTGCATATAATATAATCCAGGGAGAGAAAAACTTCACTTTGGTAACTGATATAAAAGAAGTATTTTATGGATCTATAAAATATTCCTAGACTTCCCTGAAATTCAGGGTCTTCTTAAGCAGCTTTACTCACTCAGCAGTGGCGAACCTTGGTTTTCAGTAGACACCAGCACGTGTGCCATAGGATCATCACCACTAAAGATGTAGCCCTTGTATGCACTGTATGAGGAACTAATTCCCACAATTTATGAGTTCTCCAGAGTCTGAGTAGGAGGCTACTAACTGCAAAGTCAGAGAATTAGTTTTAAGAGTCATTCATTGTATGGGGGCCAGGGACTTGGCATAACAGTATAAGCACTTGTCAGCAAAGCTCAAGGTTGTGAGTTCATCCCTGGTACAAAAAAAAAGTTATTGTATGTAACTACTTTCAGAGGAAATTCAAGCAGAGTTTCAGGTATTTTAAGCAAGCCCTTTCCCAAAGGCCTACACAGTACCACATTATCTGGAGCTTGTAGTCTTCAAAGAAACAACAAGTCTAACAGACTTATACATGTCTTACAAACATAAATCTATAGGAATAAAATTATTACAAATTTCAGTTTTGGAAAAAGAGCCTAACTCTGCTTAGTTGGGTGAGTTGAAAAAGAATGTTACAGATGTATTGGAAAACAGTTACTTCAAGTTTAAATCATAAGGAAAGAAACCTTGAGACCGAGATTGTATACTAAATAGGTAGCAGAAGCCACAGAAAGTCTTTTTTTACACTCAGATCAGCGCGCCCCTCAAAGGAAGAAAATGAAGTGGACAGCCCGCAAACCAGAGGAAAGCCTGCACAGGAAGCGGAGAGGAAAATACAGTGCTATGAACCCTGAAACAGGATGGAGCCAGTCCATGTGAGGTTCAAGAAAGCCAAGAAGGCAGCGTGTGCATCCAAGTGTTTCCTGGCGTCATTAACCCAGCACCACATCCTGATTTCTAGCACCGCTGAACCACAGACAGAAAAGATGTGGAAACAGAGTTACATCTTTAAACCTCACTTTGCGATTGGCTTATACACACTGGGCTCAGACTGTGAGTGATTTGACCTTAGTAAGAGATTTCCCAGCAAAATTAGACAACCAGATTGACCTGACAAGTAACATGAAGTAGTTTCCCTAGACAGTGCCAGGGAATCAGGTGCCAAAAGCCTGAGGTAGTTATTAGAAAATGATTACCACCTCCAATTGTCTAACTACAGGCTCTTCACCGCCAGAAAACTGCTACAGCTCAATCCAGCCAAAGCAATCACTGCTCCCGCGGAGGCATCCCCTGAGAGCACTTTCTAGCATCCCCGCTGTTTGCAAAGCAGCTAGACAGCCAGTGACATTCTATTGTCAATTAAGGAGAAATTGTTCAACGGGATTTTAACTTTTAAGTAGATTTTAGCCATGCTGCTTTCAAACGCTTGTCTCTTTGGATTCCCTTTCAGCTGGAACTTCTTCAACAGCCAAATTCTAGTGGATTTCACTTCCACAGTCATCAGGCAGTAGAAAGGATGAAAACCTGTGAGGTGATCAGAAAACCCGGCTCTATTCCCAGTCAACTGCAAGGCTTTTAACCAAGCCGGGTTGCTTTTAGAGTTTTGCTTTCTTTTAATCACAAAATATGGTAGTACAGGACATACCACACAGATGTTAGAGAAAGTCAAACAGAGAGGAGACAAGCAAAATGCTGTAGAAGGTATATTCATGCATATGCACTTAAGTGTACATCTGCACATTATGTAAATGTATATACACATAATTTTTTAAAATGTTTCCTAATGCATAAAAGTAGAATGTAAATTTAGCAATCATCTGGTTAAGTGATACATGCAACCTGGGTATTTCAAAACCAAGGTTTCTCCCTTGGTTGGGGAGAAAAGAAATGTGTTTGAATTTTTAGATCACATTTCTTCAAGTCCTCTTAACCATGGAGCCTATGAAAAACTGACTTTCAGGATTGTTGAGAGGCTAAAGAAAATATTTTGAGGAAAAAGTAATAATAATTACTGGTCATTTTGTGTTTATATGCTGGTCAGTGTATAAAGCACTTTACAGACAGTAAAGTTTTAATCAAGTCCTATGAAGTGTGTATTGCCTTACGTAAAGGGAGGCCATGTTTCTCTCCTGGCTCTACTCCACAGTGCTTTAGCATTGTCTTGCTACTTAAAGTTGGCCTGCGTGCTCTGGCTGGTGTACACGCCCCTTGTATCCAAACAGATGCTCACTGGGAGGGACAAAGCAGTGTGGGAGAGAAAATCCTGAAGGCAGCTGTGCAACTTACACTTAGATTGAAGGGCTGTGTTTCTCTAATCCCGTGGACACTCGTGTGAAGACAGACCAGGAAGAACTTTTTCTAAACTCTCTGGCCATTCCACTTAGACTACAACTATTTTTCAAATGTGGCAAAACATTGTTCGGGAACTTCTGTTAAAGAGTGCTGTTTCCTGATGCCACCACACATATTAGTTAATGTTGTTTTTTTGGAGTTAGATATATTCCAAGCAATTGTTCTCAGTTTTGTCCTAGAGCAAAGTACTGTCTTGGAAAAGCTTTCTAATACGTACAGTGCATACAGTAGAGAACTACACTGAATATGACATGCCTGTACTCAATACATAGAATACAGTAGTTCAGCTTTTCAACTTTGGAGCAGATGACTGATTTAAATCAATATACCAGATCCTCTCTTGAAGCAACTATTTATTCTAGGTCAAGTCTCCTTAAGCAGGTCCTTGAGAGGGAAGCCTCTCAGTTCAGTGGTTAAGTACATGGATTCAAATTCTGCCTTCCTCACTGATACAACCTTGGAAGGGCAAATTATTAAATTTCTCTAAATTTTTAGGGTTTCCTAACTTCTAAAATAGTGACTTGTGTCATGGAGTTGCTATTAAAAATCAAACAAAATGATATGTGTCAGGTCCCTAGCACACTGTTTAAGACAATGGGAATCTGTGTATTTTTTTATGTTATTGCTATGATTTAACTGAATAAACTCAAGTAGACAAATTGCAGCACTTTGAGGGTGCTTAAAGGCCTAGGGAGTCATATTAATGACTTCTTTTGATACAGGAAAATTTATTTGGAGGAAACTAAACTGCCCAAAGATGTGAAGAGCTTTATTAAAATATCTGAGCAATTCAGATTGTCACAAATGTTGGTCTTACGTTCTAAGGCCAATGCAAATAAAATAATTGCCTACTTAATGTTTACTATTTAATGAAGCAAATGAACTCATTTTAGGTACAATTTTGTGATGTCAGTGTAGCATCAAATTATTGTAATATACATTAAACTTTGTTTAATAAATGTGCATGTTAGTTGATGAGCATTTCAAAGAGCTTGGACCACAATTTTTGAACAGTTTACATTATAGGTAGAATTTTATAGTGCTCTATTTTCATTTTTATGGCATATTGCTAAGTTATGTATTTTATTTAACACCAAGTTTTTGGTGAAGAACACCACCCCCAAGGATAATTTAGATTCTGAATGATCTACTTTTTGACCTGCGTTGTGGCAAACAGCTTGGACAGCCTGTGCCTCACCACTTCCTCTGACAGCACCACAGCTACCAGCCAACAACCGCTGCACCCCCAACCCACTCTGCTTCCTAAGAATTAGCAGTTGAAGAAATAGTTTAGTGAAGCTAAGCTATTTGTGCCCTTGCTAAGACAGTACTGAGCATTACCACTAACAATGAATACCTGTGCCAAAAAGCAAGCTGTGCCAGGTATGGTGGCTCAGACCTGTAATCCCAGCAGTCAAGAAGCTGAGACAAGACCATACCCATGATGAGTTCAAGGCCAGAATGGACTAAAAAGTGGGTTCAAGGACAGCCTAAACTGCACAGCAAAACCCTGTAAAAAAAAAAAAAAAAAAAAAAAAGCGGTAAGGATTACAGTGATAAAACTCGAAACTCAGATGAGACCATAGAATTCAAGTTTCCTTCCACCACTAATTAGCAGTGCATAACTGAAAGAACTAAGCTCTCTAAGCCTCAGTCTCTACATCTATAAAATCTACCAGATTCAGTGACTATCATTAGTTGAGATTTTTTATTAGTGCTAATCAATGATATATGATAAATATTAAATAGCAGTCATTCTATACTAGACCACTCATAATTCATTTTCACCCTACATGTATTTACATTTTCCCTTCTCTTAAAAAATTACTTTTTCTTCCTCTTCACTCTTCATCCTACGATCTTATTTATGTTTATCAAATGAAATACACTCTGGAAAGAGACTAGGTATTAACACACAAGTACATACCTACACACACACTATTTTCTTATGGAAAATTTTCTAAAAGACGCATTGATTTGTGAAATATGGTAAAAAGCCATCATTCTGTACTTTTCAAACTGAATGCAGAATAAGGAAGCTTGTATCAGGGTTCTTTCTAGTGAACCATATTCAGTCATTCTTTTCTTTCAGACTTCTTTTCCTAGCCAAGATGAAAAATGTGGGTTAAACATTTCCTCTCTATCTGACTCATTTGGCAGAAAAAGAATTCCAGATGCCAAAAGGAATGGAAACACTGGTAGGAAAGGGGCACAGGAAGCAGGGGGAGGCAGAAGAAGCTCATCATACTTCACCAAGCTATAAAAATACCCAGGGGACTAAACGCGAGGATGCGTTACGCATGAACCTTCACAGGTAAAAAAATCAGACTCTGTAAATACACCTCTTCCTAAAGTGAACCTCAGACCAAACGTTATTGAAAGCTAAAGTGCTACTTCACAAAATTACTCTGTAATAATTCAGTTATTTGTAGAACAACAACAAAATATATGAAACCAAGTATAAAATCCAAGTATACTGAAAACCAAGTATAAAATCCTCAAAACATCACACTCAAGTATACTCACAAATCAAAAGCTACACTTTAACTAGACAGTTGTGAAAAGAAAGCAGAGCAATGATTTGATAACGTAATTTCTGGAAACACCTAGAATGTTTTTCCAAGCAATCTTAAACTAATTCGCTTTATAATGACTGTTAAGATAAACTCATTATATCCTGTAATGCCCATCATTTATGTCAATGTGTAATAAAAATATTTAATCAATATACTCTCTCTCTCTCTCTCTCTCTATATATATATATATATATATATATATATATATATATATATATTTTGGTACTGGGGATCGAACACATGATCTCATGCTTACCAGGCAGGTAGCTGAGCCACTGAGCTAAACCCCCAGCCCTTCTATATACTTTTATATGTTTCATTTTTCTTATTTTGACCATTCTGAAGTGTATCATCTATGCCCAAAATACATAAAAACCAAAATGAACAGCACACTACTTCAGATATCACAATCTTTATTATTCCTCAAACTGTTTCTTAAATACACCATCTTTAACATCTTTACATGAAAAGTAAATAGTGAAATGCTAAATGAGATTTAGAAAGTTCATGACAAAGAACTCACAGGCAGATTTATGGGGTCTGTTTTACTCTTTAGTTAGCCAAAAAGCAATTACTCAGCACCAACTAAGAACAAGAGGCTCCACTAAAAAAGAATTAAGGCCAAGAAGCAGAGAGGGCATGATTTGTACTTACAATTCACAGGAATGGGCATGGTGGTGCATGCCTATAGTGCCAGAATGCTAGAAGCAAAACTTGAATGTATATATAAAAACTAGTCCATATCACAAATCTTATGATGGTACTGTAAATTATACAATCACAATTTTTTTCTTAATTTTCTGAGTTTTAGTTTCCTCCTAAAATGTGAAAAGCCTTAATATTAATAACTCCTGTTATCATATTTAATAGTAATGCTTTTTTGTTGTTTTGGTTGGTTTTTTTATTTTTTGGTATTATGTTTTGTTTGGTTTTGGTTTTTTTGGGTGGTGGTGCTGCTGCTGAGGGTTGACTGAACTCAGGGCTTTGCGTATACAAGACAAGAGCTCTACCATGGAGACACAGTCCCTCTGATAATATATATTTTTAAAAATATTTATTTCACTATTTTCTCAATAGAAAAATTAAAGGTTGTAATAAATTTGGCACTGATGTCAAAAGAAAGCAAAAGCTTTTAAGCAAGTAACTTAGTGCAATATAATGAAGGTAACTAACAGCAAACATGATAAAGAACGTTTACTCTGGCACCATCACATTCCAGTTTTCCACCATCACAATCTGGTGTGAAGTCTCAGGTGACTACAGAAAAAGAACAGATAAACATTTCAGGTGTTTACCTCAGAGACCTTCGGCAAGATGGAGTTTTATTCTACCATCCCGTCTTTTCTGCCTTTGCCTCATGTTTCTGGGCTACATACGCCTGTGAGAGCTGTGAAAATAAAACAAAATAAAGCTAACCAGGTTCATGCCTACAATCTCAGTGCTCTGGCAGGCTGAGAAAGGAGGACAGCAACCTCGAGCCCATCCTGAACAACTCAGCAACTTAGCTAGACCCTGCTTCAAAACAGAAATAAGGCTGCGGATATAGCTCAGTGGCACAGCACCTTCCTGGCAAGTGCAAGGTTGTGAGTTTGGTCCCTGGGACCAGAAAAAATAAATAAATAAAACTAAATAAAAATAAGAATAAAAGAGGCTAGGCTATAGCTCAGTCTGAAGACCCTGGCTTCAGTCTCTACCACTCAAAGAGAAAAAAAAAAAAAAAAATAGATAAAGCTAAATGTATACATAAAGTCCTCCATAAATAATAGTTCTTATTATCATACTATAGTTATCATTATTTTTGCTTTTTAAAGACAGAAAGAAAGATTTAGTTGGGCATGATGGTGCACACCTGTAATACCAGTACTTGGGAGACTGAGGCAGGAGGATTGCTGCACATTCAAGGCCAGCCTAAATTACAGAGTAAGAGTCTGTCTCAAAAAAGAACAGGAGTCCGTCTTAAAAAGTCTGTCTCAAAAAAGAACAGGCGTTATCTAGTTTATCATTATATTTCTAGTGTCCTGGTTACTGTTAGTATTTAATAAATATTTGATGAATGCGCTGATTTATGAATGTTTCCTCCCCTAGAGAGCTGGAGAAGAAAAGGACATAGGAGAGGAAACCAAAGAGAGAGCGTCTTCTCATAACCAAAATTGGGCCATTTATTTACTGACTGTTTCTGCCTACCAGGCCCAACAATGATCTCACCCCTAGAACCTGCTAGGCTGGTCCTGTCAGTAGACAAGGTGAGTCTGGTGTCTCATGCAAAACACAGCAAACTTGGCAAACAGATCCCAAGAACAAATCTGCCTGGTGAGCCAGATCTCATTATCCACCATGGAATTTGGCCAGCTCTACTGAGATTATGGTAGGTTGAGAAATTTGAACTTTAGCCACCTGTAAATAAAAGCATAAGAGTTACCTACTCTCTCTTGCTTCTGGAGGATTTTTAATTCTTTTTTTCCAAAATGAAAACACTGATTTTGGGATCTATGGATTTCCTTCTCAACTACATGGAAATATAAGTCAAATTAATTCAGTTTTTTTAATGTAAACAGTCTGCAAATATCTTTACTAAGATAATTTAAATTTATTGAGTAATAATATCTGGAATCAAAATAAAATATACTATTCCTCATTAATCATCAAAAAATTATATTAGTTGCAGAAAAAGATAAAACATAAATATGATATAGTCTCTGGTATTCTTTTTCTACTAGAATTGAACTGAAAAAGTTCAATGCCCCAAGAAAGTGTTTATCTTTTGTCCTTGGGCTATAGATTTAGAAAAGAAAACTCACTTTTACAACAATATTTTGTACACGCACACTGTAGAACTAAGCAAATTTTCCTAGTAAACAAAAGCTTTGTCAGGATGACAATGCTTGTGGGACAAAACTAAAAAGCTTTCTGGATATAGCCTGCCGGGGCAAAGTCCTCTCCAATAAGTGATTCAGGAGGGGTTAACTGGAATTTTTTTCTGTTAACTTAAAAAATGGTTCACAGTAGGATCTCAGTAGCTAGAAAGTCACTTCACAAGTTTGTGTCTCTTCGGGATCACATCTCTGGACAAGGTTCCACAACACCTCTGGCATCACAACCACTCCTTTCACTGTCTCAGATGCTCCCAAAGTTCCTCTTTTATTTATTTTCCTCCCAATAAATCTCTTTTGCACTGAAAAACATTATTTTTCTCTCTTCTGCCATCAATCCTCCCCACCCCACTCCATCTGTATTCTGCTTTCATATGAGTTTTTGCTTTGGTGGACAGTACAAAGAGGTAATAGTATGAAAGTCAGAGAAAGCCAAGCCATGCTGAACTGAAATCAGAAAAGCTAGGGATAGATGCTGACCATAAGGCTTCCCTCACAACCCAGGAAGTCAGGAAATCTTAAATGTTTCTGTTTCTTTATCAAGACAATTTAGAGACCTGTCTACCTAATGAAATTTCAATAGCATAACATCAGACTGTATGATAATGTTACATTGCATTGATTTGTGGGATGTGCATCTCTGCATTCATATGAATGAGAATGCTGGAGATGTGAGATACCCAGCTACAAAAGAGGCATTCAAACTTATATACTATCTACAGCCTTCTGTTCCCTCTTGCCTGAACTAATCAGGTATGTTTCAGAGTTCCTTCCTAAAGGTATAGGGAATCCACACATACTAAGTTTCCCAGCGTCTTTAGTGTACTCTATATATTTGTTTGGTTTTTTAAAGCTTTTCCTGCCTCCTTGACGGTCTGATGTTGATCATGACTTTCTTCTCAGTGACCATTTGTACGACCCATGCTTCCCGTTGTAGTCTGGCTGTTTGTGAGCACCTGGACTGGTTAGAAGTGTATGGGTAGGTGACATTTTGGTGTAAGAGAAACTTGAGCACCAACACTGGCACTAAAATCAAATAGCCATACCTTGAGCTTGTCATTTGATCTTTCTGAGGCTCCATT